TTGCGTGGGCTTAGTCTGCCCGTAGGGCTCCTGAAGCGGTGGAGTTGTGGCACAGCCAGGCGGGCCGGTCCGGTCCGTGGGTGGGAGCCTCGTGCTCCACACAGTGTTGTGGCGCTGCTGGTGCATGGGGTACCGCCCTGTAAGCAGGGTCAAGCGTAGCCCCGTGTCTCTTGCTGCAAGGAGCCCCCAGTAGCCAGGTGGGTCTCCGTGTCCCCCGCTTTACATGGGCCTGGGGCCTCTAGAAGCAGGGCCGGGTTTTCACCCTCCCTGTAAGCAGGGCTTGGGGCCCGAGCCTCGGTATTTAGCCATCTCGCTCCGCTGGCGGGGGAAAGGTTGAGCTCTGCGGTTCCATGGGTGTTGCGGACCTGCCTTAAGCAGGCTTTGGTCCGGAGCCTTTTGCTCCGCTGGCAGCTGTGGGGTGCCTGACCCGTTAGCGGGATGCAGGCTTGTGGATTCCCCACTTTGGGGAGAAGGAGCCTCCCGCGGCCTCTGGGCCCAGGGCAGCCCTGTAACTCAGGGTGCTGATGCTCTGGTTCCCTGGGCACTTGAAATTGTCAATGGCTCCTCGGAGCCCCCCTGTAAGGCAGGGGTCCAGGCTCTTGGGCCGTTGCTGTGTGTGCCCAGCTTTCATTTGCCCTTGGTGCCAGCCTTGGAGCCCTGCCGCAGCGCCGCATGAAGGTCCTCTGCGTGTACAACACGGTAAGAAAAGCTGCTTTTGGTTGGCCTTGTTACGGCAAAGGGGGAGGAGGACCTCTGAGGCTCTCCTTGTCTGGGGGGTGGGTGGAGTGGGGCCCTGCCTTAGGGTCTTGGGTTCCATGTTTCTGTCGGGCACAGGAGGTGGAGCTTCGAACCCATGTCTAATGGCTTGTGCTTTGTTTGCAGCAGCCAGCGCAGAAGAAGGAGGAGGCGTCATGTGGAACGGCGAGGCAAGAGGGAGCGGCAGATGGAAGACGGGCAAAGAGGAGGACACCCTGGGCAAAGGCTTCGCCCTGTTAGCGGGGCTGTAGGTAGAGGAGAGCAGTGCTGGCACGTGAGGTGCCTGGATTGTTTTGTGCTGGGCGACCTCCCTGTAAGCAGGGCTCGGGTCTTTGCGATTGTAATCGGCCTTTTGCCTTGTTGCTCCTTTGGCTGCCTGTGGGGAGCGGCCCCCTGTAATCGGGGGCACAGCTGCTCTCTCCGCACCCGGGAGGACTGTGGAGCTTGCCGGACCCCAGGGCCTCCCTGTAGTCAGGGCAGAGCCAATTCCCCACCCCCTTAATTTTAGCCGTCTGGCTCTTTGTCTAAACTATTTGTCTAAACGTGATGGACTATGGAAACTTAGTATATGACTGATGCCTACGATATAATGCCAACTATTGCATAAAAAGCAATATAAAGCGATATATATATATATAATATGACCTATATGAATACTGTGAAAACAGATTCTCTAAAGGAGATGAACGATAAATTCTGATGCATGCTGTGTTTCAGCACCCCGTAGCTGGGGTGCGTTGTCCAATTGGGTCTCGGCAGAAGCCGTTTCGGCTTCTGGACGTCTCTGGCATCACTGTAATTGATGGTGCGTGGGATACCGCCCTGTGAGCAGGGTCAAGCGTAGCCCCGCGTCTCTCGCTGCAAGGAGCCCCCTGTAGCCAGGTGGGTCTCCGTGTCCCCCGCTTTCCATGAGCTTGGGGCCACTAGAAGTCAGGGCCGGGTTTTCACCCTCCCTGTAAGCAGGGCCTGGGGCCCGAGCCTCGGCATTCGGCCATCTGGCTCCGCTGGCGGGGGAAAGGTTGAGCTCTGCGGTTCCATGGGTGTTGCGGACCCGCCTTAAGCAGGCTTTGGTCCGGAGCCTTTTGCTCCGCTGGCAGCTGTGGGGTGCCTGACCCGTTAGCGGGATGCAGGCTTGTGGATTCCCCACTTTGGGGAGAAGGAGCCTCCCGCGGCCTCTGGGCCCAGGGCAGCCCTGTAACTCAGGGTGCTGATGCTCTGGTTCCCTGGGCACTTGAAATTGTCAATGGCTCCTCGGAGCCCCCCTGTAAGGCAGGGGTCCAGGCTCTTGGGCCGTTGCTGTGTGTGCCCAGCTTTCATTTGCCCTTGGTGCCAGCCTTGGAGCCCTGCCGCAGCGCCGCATGAAGGTCCTCTGCGTGTACAACACGGTAAGAAAAGCTGCTTTTGGTTGGCCTTGTTACGGCAAAGGGGGAGGAGGACCTCTGAGGCTCTCCTTGTCTGGGGGGTGGGTGGAGTGGGGCCCTGCCTTAGGGTCTTGGGTTCCATGTTTCTGTCGGGCACAGGAGGTGGAGCTTCGAACCCATGTCTAATGGCTTGTGCTTTGTTTGCAGCAGCCAGCGCAGAAGAAGGAGGAGGCGTCGTGTGGAACGGCGAGGCAAGAGGGAGCGGCAGATGGAAGACGGGCAAAGAGGAGGACACCCTGGGCAAAGGCTTCGCCCTGTTAGCGGGGCTGTAGGTAGAGGAGAGCAGTGCTGGCACGTGAGGTGCCTGGATTGTTTTGTGCTGGGCGACCTCCCTGTAAGCAGGGCTCGGGTCTTTGCGATTGTAATCGGCCTTTAGCCTTGTTGCTCCTTTGGCTGCCTGGGGGGAGCGGCCCCCTGTAATCAGGGGCACAGCTGCTCTCTCCGCACCCGGGAGGACTGTGGAGCTTGCCGGACCCCAGGGCCTCCCTGTAGTCAGGGCAGAGCCAATTCCCCACCCCCTTAATTTTAGCCGTCTGGCTCTTTGTCTAAACTATTTGTCTAAACGTGATGGGCTATGGTAACTTAGTATATGACTGATGCCTACGCTATAATGCCAACTATTGCATAAAAAGCAATATAAAAGCGATATATATATAATATGACCTATATGAATACAGTGAAAACAGATTCTCTAAAGGAGATGAACGATAAATTCTGATGCATGCTGTGTTTCAGCACGCCGTAGCTGGGGTGCGTTGTCCAATTGGGTCTCGGCAGAAGCCGTTTCGGCTTCTGGACGTCTCTGGCATCACTGTAATTTCTGGGCGGGTCTGAGATTCTCGCCTTATGCTCGCGGGTGGCGTCTTGCTGCCCTGTGGTTGGCTGCGCTGGTCTCCTTCCCCACAGGGACGTTGTCTGTCCCTTTTCTCTGTTCTTTGCTCCTTCTCCAGGTGCGTGTGAGCGAGCGATTGAGTTTTTCCTTAGGGCTCTCCTAGAAATTGCTGCAGCTTAGCCCACACTTCCCTGGGGGGACCGAGGCCTTGCAGCAGCCTGAGCACAGAGAATTTGATAGGGACGGCGGAGTCCGGGCTTGGCCCTTTTTTTATGGCATTCAAGCGACACAAGAGTAGGATGGGCGGCGGCACCCTGTAGTCAGGGCCTGGGTCTGCGCCCGTGTGCTTGTGTGTCTGCCGGAGACTAGTGCTCGTGACAACCCCGTCGTCGGGGTCTGTGTCACGAGGTGCGGAGCCCTCTGTCCCCGCGAGCAGGGCCGGCCTGTAAGCAGGTGCCGGAGCCAGTTGCTCTAGTCAGCCAGCAGGAACGAACAGCCCCCTCGCGGCCCTCTAGAGGGTGCGGGCTGGGGTGCTGCTGTTGTGGTCGGGGATCTGCTTGGAGTCGGTATTGCGTGGGCTTAGTCTGCCCGTAGGGCTCCTGAAGCGGTGGAGTTGTGGCACAGCCAGGCGGGCCGGTCCGGTCCGTGGGTGGGAGCCTCGTGCTCCACACAGTGTTGTGGCGCTGCTGGTGCATGGGGTACCGCCCTGTAAGCAGGGTCAAGCGTAGCCCCGTGTCTCTCGCTGCAAGGAGCCCCCAGTAGCCAGGTGGGTCTCCGTGTCCCCCGCTTTACATGGGCCTGGGGCCTCTAGAAGCAGGGCCGGGTTTTCACCCTCCCTGTAAGCAGGGCTTGGGGCCCGAGCCTCGGTATTTAGCCATCTCGCTCCGCTGGCGGGGGAAAGGTTGAGCTCTGCGGTTCCATGGGTGTTGCGGACCTGCCTTAAGCAGGCTTTGGTCCGGAGCCTTTTGCTCCGCTGGCAGCTGTGGGGTGCCTGACCCGTTAGCGGGATGCAGGCTTGTGGATTCCCCACTTTGGGGAGAAGGAGCCTCCCGCGGCCTCTGGGCCCAGGGCAGCCCTGTAACTCAGGGTGCTGATGCTCTGGTTCCCTGGGCACTTGAAATTGTCAATGGCTCCTCGGAGCCCCCCTGTAAGGCAGGGGTCCAGGCTCTTGGGCCGTTGCTGTGTGTGCCCAGCTTTCATTTGCCCTTGGTGCCAGCCTTGGAGCCCTGCCGCAGCGCCGCATGAAGGTCCTCTGCGTGTACAACACGGTAAGAAAAGCTGCTTTTGGTTGGCCTTGTTACGGCAAAGGGGGAGGAGGACCTCTGAGGCTCTCCTTGTCTGGGGGGTGGGTGGAGTGGGGCCCTGCCTTAGGGTCTTGGGTTCCATGTTTCTGTCGGGCACAGGAGGTGGAGCTTCGAACCCATGTCTAATGGCTTGTGCTTTGTTTGCAGCAGCCAGCGCAGAAGAAGGAGGAGGCGTCATGTGGAACGGCGAGGCAAGAGGGAGCGGCAGATGGAAGACGGGCAAAGAGGAGGACACCCTGGGCAAAGGCTTCGCCCTGTTAGCGGGGCTGTAGGTAGAGGAGAGCAGTGCTGGCACGTGAGGTGCCTGGATTGTTTTGTGCTGGGCGACCTCCCTGTAAGCAGGGCTCGGGTCTTTGCGATTGTAATCGGCCTTTTGCCTTGTTGCTCCTTTGGCTGCCTGTGGGGAGCGGCCCCCTGTAATCGGGGGCACAGCTGCTCTCTCCGCACCCGGGAGGACTGTGGAGCTTGCCGGACCCCAGGGCCTCCCTGTAGTCAGGGCAGAGCCAATTCCCCACCCCCTTAATTTTAGCCGTCTGGCTCTTTGTCTAAACTATTTGTCTAAACGTGATGGACTATGGAAACTTAGTATATGACTGATGCCTACGATATAATGCCAACTATTGCATAAAAAGCAATATAAAAGCGATATATATATATATAATATGGACCTATATGAATACTGTGAAAACAGATTCTCTAAAGGAGATGAACGATAAATTCTGATGCATGCTGTGTTTCAGCACCCCGTAGCTGGGGTGCGTTGTCCAATTGGGTCTCGGCAGAAGCCGTTTCGGCTTCTGGACGTCTCTGGCATCACTGTAATTGATGGTGCGTGGGATACCGCCCTGTGAGCAGGGTCAAGCGTAGCCCCGCGTCTCTCGCTGCAAGGAGCCCCCTGTAGCCAGGTGGGTCTCCGTGTCCCCCGCTTTCCATGAGCTTGGGGCCACTAGAAGCAGGGCCGGGTTTTCACCCTCCCTGTAAGCATGGCCAGGGGCCCGAGCCTCAGCATTCGGCCATCTGGCTCCGCTGGCGGGGGAAAGGTTGAGCTCTGCGGTTCCATGGGTGTTGCGGACCCGCCTTAACCAGGCTTTGGTCCGGAGCCTTTTGCTCCGCTGGCAGCTGTGGGGTGCCTGGCCCGTTAGCGGGATGCAGGCTTGTGGATTCCCCACTTTGGGGAGAAGGAGCCTCCCGCGGCCTCTGGGCCCAGGGCAGCCCTGTAACTCAGGGTGCTGATGCTCTGGTTCCCTGGGCACTTGAAATTGTCAATGGCTCCTCGGAGCCCCCCTGTAAGGCAGGGGTCCAGGCTCTTGGGCCGTTGCTGTGTGTGCCCAGCTTTCATTTGCCCTTGGTGCCAGCCTTGGAGCCCCGCCGCAGCGCCGCATGAAGGTCCTCTGCGTGTACAACACGGTAAGAAAAGCTGCTTTTGGTTGGCCTTGTTACGGCAAAGGGGGAGGAGGACCTCTGAGGCTCTCCTTGTCTGGGGGGTGGGTGGAGTGGGGCCCTGCCTTAGGGTCTTGGGTTCCATGTTTCTATCGGGCACAGGAGCTTCGAACCCATGTCTAATGGCTTGTGCTTTGTTTGCAGCAGCCAGCGCAGAAGAAGGAGGAGGCGTCGTGTGGAACGGCGAGGCAAGAGGGAGCGGCAGATGGAAGACGGGCAAAGAGGAGGACACCCTGGGCAAAGGCTTCGCCCTGTTAGCGGGGCTGTAGGTAGAGGAGAGCAGTGCTGGCACGTGAGGTGCCTGGATTGTTTTGTGCTGGGCGACCTCCCTGTAAGCAGGGCTCGGGTCTTTGCGATTGTAATCGGCCTTTAGCCTTGTTGCTCCTTTGGCTGCCTGGGGGGAGCGGCCCCCTGTAATCAGGGGCACAGCTGCTCTCTCCGCACCCGGGAGGACTGTGGAGCTTGCCGGACCCCAGGGCCTCCCTGTAGTCAGGGCAGAGCCAATTCCCCACCCCCTTAATTTTAGCCGTCTGGCTCTTTGTCTAAACTATTTGTCTAAACGTGATGGGCTATGGTAACTTAGTATATGACTGATGCCTACGCTATAATGCCAACTATTGCATAAAAAGCAATATAAAAGCGATATATATATAATATGACCTATATGAATACAGTGAAAACAGATTCTCTAAAGGAGATGAACGATAAATTCTGATGCATGCTGTGTTTCAGCACGCCGTAGCTGGGGTGCGTTGTCCAATTGGGTCTCGGCAGAAGCCGTTTCGGCTTCTGGACGTCTCTGGCATCACTGTAATTTCTGGGCGGGTCTGAGATTCTCGCCTTATGCTCGCGGGTGGCGTCTTGCTGCCCTGTGGTTGGCTGCGCTGGTCTCCTTCCCCACAGGGACGTTGTCTGTCCCTTTTCTCTGTTCTTTGCTCCTTCTCCAGGTGCGTGTGAGCGAGCGATTGAGTTTTTCCTTAGGGCTCTCCTAGAAATTGCTGCAGCTTAGCCCACACTTCCCTGGGGGGACCGAGGCCTTGCAGCAGCCTGAGCACAGAGAATTTGATAGGGACGGCGGAGTCCGGGCTTGGCCCTTTTTTTATGGCATTCAAGCGACACAAGAGTAGGATGGGCGGCGGCACCCTGTAGTCAGGGCCTGGGTCTGCGCCCGTGTGCTTGTGTGTCTGCCGGAGACTAGTGCTCGTGACAACCCCGTCGTCGGGGTCTGTGTCACGAGGTGCGGAGCCCTCTGTCCCCGCGAGCAGGGCCGGCCTGTAAGCAGGTGCCGGAGCCAGTTGCTCTAGTCAGCCAGCAGGAACGAACAGCCCCCTCGCGGCCCTCTAGAGGGTGCGGGCTGGGGTGCTGCTGTTGTGGTCGGGGATCTGCTTGGAGTCGGTATTGCGTGGGCTTAGTCTGCCCGTAGGGCTCCTGAAGCGGTGGAGTTGTGGCACAGCCAGGCGGGCCGGTCCGGTCCGTGGGTGGGAGCCTCGTGCTCCACACAGTGTTGTGGCGCTGCTGGTGCATGGGGTACCGCCCTGTAAGCAGGGTCAAGCGTAGCCCCGTGTCTCTCGCTGCAAGGAGCCCCCAGTAGCCAGGTGGGTCTCCGTGTCCCCCGCTTTACATGGGCCTGGGGCCTCTAGAAGCAGGGCCGGGTTTTCACCCTCCCTGTAAGCAGGGCTTGGGGCCCGAGCCTCGGTATTTAGCCATCTCGCTCCGCTGGCGGGGGAAAGGTTGAGCTCTGCGGTTCCATGGGTGTTGCGGACCCGCCTTAAGCAGGCTTTGGTCCGGAGCCTTTTGCTCCGCTGGCAGCTGTGGGGTGCCTGACCCGTTAGCGGGATGCAGGCTTGTGGATTCCCCACTTTGGGGAGAAGGAGCCTCCCGCGGCCTCTGGGCCCAGGGCAGCCCTGTAACTCAGGGTGCTGATGCTCTGGTTCCCTGGGCACTTGAAATTGTCAATGGCTCCTCGGAGCCCCCCTGTTAGCCAGGGGTCCAGGCTCTTGGGCTGTTGCTGTGTGTGCCCAGCTTTCATTTGCCCTTGGTGCCAGCCTTGGAGCCCTGCCGCAGCGCCGCATGAAGGTCCTCTGCGTGTACAACACGGTAAGAAAAGCTGCTTTTGGTTGGCCTTGTTACGGCAAAGGGGGAGGAGGACCTCTGAGGCTCTCCTTGTCTGGGGGGTGGGTGGAGTGGGGCCCTGCCTTAGGGTCTTGGGTTCCATGTTTCTGTCGGGCACAGGAGGTGGAGCTTCGAACCCATGTCTAATGGCTTGTGCTTTGTTTGCAGCAGCCAGCGCAGAAGAAGGAGGAGGCGTCGTGTGGAACGGCGAGGCAAGAGGGAGCGGCAGATGGAAGACGGGCAAAGAGGAGGACACCCTGGGCAAAGGCTTCGCCCTGTTAGCGGGGCTGTAGGTAGAGGAGAGCAGTGCTGGCACGTGAGGTGCCTGGATTGTTTTGTGCTGGGCGACCTCCCTGTAAGCAGGGCTCGGGTCTTTGCAATTGTAATCGGCCTTTTGCCTTGTTGCTCCTTTGGCTGCCTGGGGGAGCGGCCCCCTGTAATCAGGGGCACAGCTGCTCTCTCCGCACCCGGGAGGACTGTGGAGCTTGCCGGACCCCAGGGCCTCCCTGTAGTCAGGGCAGAGCCAATTCCCCACCCCCTTAATTTTAGCCGTCTGGCTCTTTGTCTAAACTATTTGTCTAAACGTGATGGACTATGGAAACTTAGTATATGACTGATGCCTATGATATAATGCCAACTATTGCATAAAAAGCAATATAAAAGCGATATATATATATATAATATGGCCTATATGAATACTGTGAAAACAGATTCTCTAAAGGAGATGAACGATAAATTATGATGCATGCTGTGTTTCAGCACCCCGTAGCTGGGGTGCGTTGTCCAATTGGGTCTCGGCAGAAGCCGTTTCGGCTTCTGGACGTCTCTGGCATCACTGTAATTGATGGTGCGTGGGGTACCGCCCTGTGAGCAGGGTCAAGCGTAGCCCCGTGTCTCTCCCTGCAAGGAGCCCCCTGTAGCCAGGTGGGTCTCCGTGTCCCCCGCTTTCCATGGGCCTGGGGCCACTAGAAGTAGGGCCGGGTTTTCACCCTCCCTGTAAGCAGGGCTTGGGGCCCGAGCCTCGGCATTTGGCCGTCTGGCTCCGCTGGCGGGGGAAAGGTTGAGCTCTGCGGTTCCATGGGTGTTGCGGACCCGCCTTAACCAGGCTTTGGTCCGGAGCCATTTGCTCCGCTGGCAGCTGTGGGGTGCCTGACCCGTTAGCGGGATGCAGGCTTGTGGATTCCCCACTTTGGGGAGAAGGAGCCTCCCGCGGCCTCTGGGCCCAGGGCAGCCCTGTAACTCAGGGTGCTGATGCTCTGGTTCCCTGGGCGCTTGAAATTGTCAATGGCTCCTCGGAGCCCCCCTGTAAGGCAGGGGTCCAGGCTCTTGGGCCGTTGCTGTGTGTGCCCAGCTTTCATTTGCCCTTGGTGCCAGCCTTGGAGCCCTGCCGCAGCGCCGCATGAAGGTCCTCTGCGTGTACAACACGGTAAGAAAAGCTGCTTTCGGTTGGCCTTGTCCTCTTCTCCGTTTGCTGTAACCTCTGAGGTTGTCTTTTTTAGGGTGGTTGTTATGAGGAGCTGCCTTGGGTTTCCTTTTACCTTTAGTTACCAGATTGAGAACTGTGTTGTAAGCTCTAACTGTTTTGCCTTTGGTTTGCAACAGCGTATGCAGAAGAAAGAAATAACAGAATTCTAGGGCTTGGGAGCGACCTCAAGAGGCCATCGCATTCAACACCGTTAGCAAAAAAGGTTCCCTTGATGAAATGTCATAGGGAGGCATCCATACAAGTCAAAAATAACTGCAGAGAAGGTAGCTGAGCAGCCTCGTGCAGTATTCCGTCACCTTCCACCATAGTGGTACAGAACTTCCTCTGCTCCATTCTGTGGCCATTGCCCCTTGTCCTGTCCTCACAGACAGGTGAAATATTCTTGGCCATTTTCTTCTTCCTCTTACACTGCACTTACACTTCCTCTTACACACCACTGTAATTCTGCAGGAAGAGATTTAAACTCAGGTTATTACTAAAACTGAATGGAAAGCAGCTTCCCTGCTGCCCAGAGGAGAAACGATATACACTGTATGAAGCCTGGTTTGGAAGCCTGCTTATTAAAATAGCAATTGGGAACAAAAAAAACTCAATTTGTCTTTGAGAATTTGGGGATCTTTAGAAACTTTTTGTTTTCTGTTTAATGTCAACCTTTTTCCAAGAAAGACAATAATACAAGCATTTGAAAACCCCACTGTTGCGAAGCACGGCCGAAAGCCCGACAGACACCAGTAGAGTCAGATCATGCTTCACCATTTTATTGCCCGAATAGCCCAACTTTTATAGTGAATTTTACAGGGGTGGACAGTGTTTCACACAAGATTATTGGTCAAAAGCACCCAGACAAACCGTTAAGAAAATAACACCACCTTTTGATTAGAAGTTAGGAAAACAACCCCCTTTGTGCTTAACGGTCGCGTAGACCTAGTCCTTGAGGCCAGCTGCTGATAACAATATTTTCTGAGTTCCTTAATTGGGTGATGTGGGAGTCATTGCCGTGGGAGCTTCTCACAGTTACTCTGGCAGCTTGGTTTGCTCAGCTACAGCAGGCCCTGAGATTTCTAAGGCCTACCCCTGGTTGCTTAAAGTAAGCTTAGATCGAACAATTATGCCAATTCCCAACAATTCCCCCATTTTCTTTTTGTACAGGCAGTGCTTGGTTTTACAGCAGGTGTCAAATATACAACATAACACAACTATATAACTTAACCCTAATAATACTATAATTACTGTAAGCATTTAATGGTAACACAATCTAATAGTAAGTAACACAACTTAATAGTAACACACTTAAACCTAATCACTTGATGGTGATCAAAGGCTGTTCTTGACAGTCTTTGAGGTGTCACAGCCCACGTCATTGTCAGAATGATTATCAGGAACCTCTTCATGGTCGTCTTCAGCGTGTGCAGATTCTAAAACTGCTTCAGTCCACTTTACAGTGATCCACTGGATACCTGTTCCCGGCACCACTTCAAAATCCCTATAACATTTTGCAAATTACCCTTTAACCACATTTATCACAATACTACGTGTAATGATGATTGACACTACAATGAACAGAATTCTTAATGCTCCTTTGACTAATCCCAGTAACCATCTATGTATTGTTTCAAACAAATCAGTGAACCATTGATTGAAAGGATTGATACCATATTGAATCTTTTTAATAAATCCATTTTTCTATGATTTTTGCTGGCACCAATTACCTATGCTTTTAGCCTGCACTGTGGTTATATCCTAGGATCCTACACTGTGGCAACAATAACCTGTACTAAGGCTATATTCTGGAATCCTGCACTATGGCAACAATAACCTGGACTATGGCTATATGCACTCTCACTCACACAGTACACAATACAATCACACATACAGAGCACAATCGTACACCCAGAGGCCTCTGGCACATCTCACTCTCAATCATACCATAACCTCAATCATACCACAAGAATATAATTTAGAATGATAAGCAAACAAACAAGTATTGTCTCTCATTGTGTTCCTCGTGAAATGACTTGCAACACTTTGTTTTAAAACCTTACCCTTACACAAATACTTTCAACACAAAATACCTGGACATTTAAGAATAACACATATAATTATTAATACTCCAGTTAGTATCCCTCCAGCAGCTGAAAACCTACTGTTTGTCTGCAGCTACAGGAGATCTTTGTCTGCTCCTGCGGTGAGCAGCTGAGAGTGGAGTCCCCTCCGAACAAAACGCTCAGGGTGCACCTAGGGGCGTCCACACCGCAGCTGATCCCCGCAGCCGAGCAGTTGTTACGTGCGGCCACAGATGCCACTCCAAGCACTTAAATTGCCAATGCCGCTCTAGCTGCAACCCCACACAATTCAACATTATCATTGCTATCCGGTGCAAGCAATGCCCATTTATGTCTGGTGATTTCATGCAACTGCAACAAGCTAGAAGCGAATACAATGAGTTTATCTAAGTAACATGGACTTCTGATAGCATTTGCAGTGATACCTTGCCAGGCCCTATCCCCACAAATCAGAAAAACATCAGCAGGTAAGGCCAAAGCTGTACAATTGTTCCAAACACTGTAGTTGTTACCCCTTGTCTCCATGCTATGAACCCCTAAACCCTGCTTAGCAGTGTCATTGTAATCACAGGTGTTATTTGTATTTTTGTACCGGTATGGTCTTTTCCAGGTTCCTGTAGCAGGAATCATCTGATATCCACGGCTACGTTCACATTTGTAGCCACCTTTCAGGTTGATACATATTTGACTACAGATACCAGGCTTTTGACATTCATCAAAATCTCCACAGTTTCTCTTGTCTACAAACTCAAACCCAGCTGGACAGTCACATTCAGTTTTGTTGCATTCCTTCAGGGGCTCATCACCCCAGTCCTTGCAGTCTCTCTGCTGGTTACACACTTTATTGATATCTGTGCATTCTCCACTTCTGCACTTGAATTTGCCAGGTCCAGAGCACTGAATAACATCGTTACAGTTTGCTTCATCAGTGCCATCCAGACAGTCTTTCACACCACTGCACTGCCTACTTCCATGGACACAGTTCCCATCTTCACATCTGAACTGGTCTGGCCTGCAAGTCTGAAAAGGGCAGTTAATTTCATCACTTCCATCCTTGCAATCAGGATCTCTGTTACAGTCTTTTTCACCATCACATTTCCAGGACACCAGGATACACTGGGTTGACTGAGGACCACAGCTGATTTCATTTACCTGGCATGTTCTCATATAACACAGATCAGCAAGTCTCATCAGACCCATTTTCACAGTCCGGATCCCCATCACACTGCCATCTGTTTGGCACACACTGACCACTGTTGCACACAAAGTCAGATTCAGCACACGTCTTCTTCACACAAGCACTCTCATCACTGCCGTCTGAGCAGTCTTCACATTTTGCTCTAGCACTGTCGGCAGCAGTGCACAGACAGGTGAGGGCGAGCAGCAGGCAGAATGCCCCACAGCGCGGCAGTGCCTGCCGCCGCCCTGCACCTATGTCACTTATACTACTCCTATTACCCGTGCCAGGTCAGTGTCAGTGGCATCCTCCTGGTACTGTTTCTGTCTTTGCCGCCCCTTACTCTCCCCCTTTTCTTTTTGCCACTGACCATTCACCACAAATGGATGAGACACATGATTACTAGTTAGGCAAGAGCGTGTAACATCTGCTATACGGCTGCAGGCAATCTGCTGGTTTTGGTAATACTCTAGCTGCCTCTCTGCCAGGTCCACGTGCTGCAGCAGGTTCTCAATGAAGTGCTGGAGCCTGGCTTTTCCCTGCAATTCTTTTTCTGCCTCCTCCTCGAACTCGCTGAGGCGCTGCTTCAAGGCCGCGATCATCTCCACCGCCACGTCCACCTGCCTGCTGAGCACCCGCTCCCTCCGCTGCACCTCCTGCTGCTTCTGCGAGAGCTTCAC